GAGATACATTTTGTGACAGAGCTAGGCTAAAGACATCAAATCAAGCAACTCTAGTACAAATTCGCCAAAGCCAGATTGATGGAAAGCTTAAGGAACGCGAAAATTGGAATCGAACCAGTGATCCGCTGTGCGTTGTAAGCACATTTATCCCACGGCGCTGCACTCCAGCCATTACCCTATAACTAGCACAAAAACATGATATACGGCACGTCCAAGACTTTTTAGATTTTAACTACGATTTGTTGATATGGCAAAAGTGTTGAAGTGATAATTATTTCTTGCCAGTTAGATGTTGAAGTAAATTGAGTACCATCTTGAGATGCTTTGCTTTATCGCCTACTATCTGAAAAAGAAAAAAGAAGTAAATATATGAGTCGACTGCTACAAATGCATCACAGTGCGAATAGTGGCCCAGTCAACACGAGCAGCTCAATCTTATATGTGTTAATCAAAACATACAAGTTCGTTTCTACCGATGGTCGTGCTTCTATTAGTCTCACCAGCGTTTAAGGATAGATCAATAATCGACTGTGCATACGGTCCCACAGAATAACGTGGTTAATAGACCTAATTAATCTACTTGCCAAAACCCATCCTAGCCCATCTCACGAACGCCCAAATATCTTTAGATCGTAAAGCCTAAGCAGTGCCTTAGTGTTAGGGTTCTTCAACATTACCGTTTTTCAATTAACTGAGTCGATTTGCTGTCATAGACGCTGCGTCTGCGAACTCCTCATGCAAACGCGAATGAGTCGTACACGTGTATGGCGATTTGATTGGACAGGTCATTAATTTCTCAATGGACTGCATATGCTACTCGGTATGTAAATAGTCCGTGAGATATATCCGATAATGTGGAGTGCTTTGCAAAAACACTTGCGTCATCCGGATTCGAACCCACATCTCGCTCTTTCCGAGAGCGTATGCTAACCGTTGCAACACCGACGCTCGTTTTGCACAACACTCTTTTCACGCTAAAATGCGTTATCTGTCAACAGCCGACCATCTACGGTCTAGCGGGGCAGCCGCTATCGGCATTGGACCCACTTATGCTGAGAGATATTGTTTATCAACTTCACCAACAATTTTTTAAAAATCCGTGAAATAGTTTGCCACAAATAAGAATGATGGCAATGGAACAGGGGTGGCCAACAATCCTTGTAATTGCGTTCGTGTCTGTCGTGTCTGAAAGTGAACCCTCATATACTCTGTTGGCAACCTAATATATTATAAGTGCAGATGATCCTTTTGTCATTTGCTCACAGGAGGAGATACACAAATGCTCTGAGTTGCTGAATCAACAGCCACAATGTATAAAAATCTCCGTGTTAACGCGCTCCAGTGATGGACTATAAGGGTTTTGCTGATCTCACCTGAGAGTGCAAGCCGTTGTGGAATTCACCAAAAATCTCACCGGATGCTGGCGATCGCACTGACACGGGCCTGACTGGTACCACCGAGAGAAAGGATGTAGTTCCCTCCGTCTGTGAGGAAGCTGTTTGGGCAACATCAGAGCCAAGACATTAGCTGTGACATGCTCACATTAATTACGCGTGTTTTTGTCGTACTTCATGCTTCATTTGAGCATTTTCTGTTGCTCACATAATTAATGTTGTCTTTGAAAAAATTTCAATCCAAATTCAAAATCTACTGCATTCAGTGGCGAACATAAAACAGCCGTTGGAATGGGTTCTAAGCTTTATGTGCTTCAAACATTCGTGTACTGCTATCGGTACATGCTCGTCTCCGAGATTTTACCTCAAATATACAGATTTTGATACATGAACCAATTTAGTGACCTGTAATTAACCATTTGAAATCTGCCTTATATGTCTCATAAAATTTTCTGACCATTTTGGAAAGAGAACATTGCAGCGATAAGTTCGAAAAGCCAGTTTGACGTGGCTTATCTCGGGTCTCGCAGAAAACATGTACTGATTACGGTACATATTCAGATTGCACTCTGATGATTCACTTCTACAAAGAGGTTGTTACGCTCTAGTGCCGAGTGTTGAAATTTTAAGAATAAGACTGGAAGCAACTTGCCCTACGACTTACTGTACACTGCAAAAAAAGCTAATGGAACTTCTCTAAAAGCTGTAAAGAGCGACAGTCTACATATGTGATCGATATGCTACTGTTTGGTAAAAGAGTATTGTTTATGCATGCTTTTAGTTAAATAATTTATAAACCGTGAATTTTTACCCTTACTGGCATAAATCGTATTTCCACGCCCGTATCCACCGTCTTCGTTCATTACCAAGTCTACAATCGGGTTTTTGAAAGCAATTTGGAATTCTTAAATGAGGTTGATGTAGTTCTCATCAGTAACGCTAGTGTGGTCAATTGAATTGAGCTGAGCGTCCACAACGAGTGTTCCGTTCAGAGTGATGTCTGCTGAAATCTGAATTTCATTCAATCAAACAGACGTTCTTAGATGTAGTTTCTTCAATACTATAATGGCAATCTTAAGAAAAAACATACTTTGTTGATAACGTTTTCGCAACGATTTTGCCTCCACTGCGTTGAAAGTAACCCGGAATTCCACCGAAAATCCGTCTCGGCAGTTGTGTTACCGAAAGTCTGAACAAATCCACTTAGAAGAAGCATAGCTGAGTTCCTCTCCGCAGTATGTAGAAAACGCAACTGAGCTTCACAGACATGCATAGTCGACCATTAGTGTACACCTTCTATACTCTACAAATCCTAAAACGTACAGGAGAGCGAATGAAGCGTATCGCATTGCGTCGAGGAAACCAATGTGTTAGCAGCACACATACACTCATCGAAAAATCATTCACACCTACTCTATTCATTTATTTGAAAAGACGGAACGTTTAAAAAAGCCTTCTAGTACGCATGAATACCGCGTTTAAGCGATCGAAATGGCGAGCAGATAACGGAAAAGTACCGATTTTGATTTCAATAGTCGCTCTAAAAGATGAAATATCGCTGAAGAGACATTCATAAAGGTATTTCTAGTAAAAATAGTGCTCACGAGTTCTAGAAAGACCGCAATTTCCAACGGTAAAGCCACATCCTTGCGAAGAGGACGTATTTCCAAATGTCATCAAAAAATTCATCAGCGCCTTTTTATTAATCTATATTTATACATAATTCGAATGATTGAAGGATAAAGCACTTGACATTGTCAATCCGGGAGGGATGTGCTATGCATTCGCCCTCATCTAACATCGCTTGAGATGATTGAATGCATGTCTGTCCCTTACAATGACGCGCGGTGGCCTACCGATATATCAAGTCAGTGTTGCTGTCCTCCCAGACAAGCTGATCCCACGTGTTCTTCGCACTTTTGCTTTAAATGTTCTCAGGGTAATATATTGTACCTCGTCTAGTTTCCACCTCTCCACTCACTCCAGTGTAACATGTAAGTGATTTCGAGGTCTGTACGGCAACGGCCTCCTAGTCCATTTGCTTGTCTCTGATTGATATCCACCTCCACTTATCCCAACATATAGAAAAAATAAAAATAGCTCTTCTGCACAGTCAATTTCACTGTAATTAGATTAGATTTATTTATAATTGGAGTATGCGAGAAGGGTCGGATACTTATGTGTAATGGAAGAAAACTGTGCCACAAAGCACAACCGTATTTCGAGAAAATTAGCATGTTAGTTGGCCTACTAAGTTTTACCTACACTTCATATGCTCACATCTGTTCTTGCACGACCAACTCGATAGTGTGCTAGACTGGATTCATATGAATCATGTTGGCAACATATGGTGGGATCCACGCTGCTGCAATATACTACGTGTAGAATTGTCACGCTGCCGGAGCAGTAGCGCAGTAATCAGAGATCTAAGTATTTGAATGAATACCAATTTTCTTATGAAGATTCCCTGTCCAGTGAAGAGGTCGTTTTTTCATTTGTCTCCGGATATTATAAAAGAACCAAAGCACTTCATAAACGCTTTCTTAAAAAGTCATAAAGTGGGGAATAAGTGTTACGGGGCAACGTTCCTACAAAATAGTTGGATGAAAATGTGCAAGAAGAGTTTGAACTGTGTGTGAGTAACTTTTTAAGATGTCTTTTCCCTATTGGAAAATGCAGTTTCCAAAGACACATTCGTTCATTCACTGAATTATTTCAAAACTATTTTCATGAATAATCTACGGTGATACCGCGTATTTATGTGGCAGTGGAGTCCCATTAAAATAATATCAGTGTATAAGAATACCAACAAATCTGCTCTGAAAATCCAACCGCGGGCGATTTTTTTCCGAAGGCAAAACGTGGTTTTCTTCTCGTCATTATAGGGCTCCAGAAAAGATTTATCGCGAATCGAGCTCATTATTTGACCCTCTATTTCTCGAGTTATCTAAATATTGTAAATGTAAATAGAATACTGTAAAAATGTGCACTGAGTGTTGGAAAGGAGATCTTTTTCATAAGGATGTGGTTTTCCATTGAGAAGTGCGAGTATAGGACACATGAGTACTCTTTTCACTAGGAATAATCTAAATTTCCTAAGTAATATTCCATTTTGTTGATGATCAAGTGTTCTCAAAATCCAAGTTTTGATAAGTAATTAGCAGATTGATGATGGAGCGTGCGCTGATATTCGCATGCCCGAACGGGGAAGACAGGCGTTTTGAGAGAATCATGAGTGCCACTCCGAACGTGTTAGATAAAACTTAGACATACCGATATTACTGGTAATCCGAAAAGTGACTAAGCTAAGAGAAATTCACTGTCTGACATTCGGCCTCTGTAAAAGCACTGAAAGACGGCGAGCATACAACGGTCTGGGAGAATCCGGGCACTGCAACGCATAGAACTTCATGCGATCAACCTAACGAACTATATCGGAGTTTTGATTTGAAGAGGACTGATTCAGTAGTGATTTTTGAACATTTAGATATTCGTTTCAAAAGTCTTGCTGAATTCAAAATTTAACGTTTTTTGAATGATTGAAAATTGGGAAATGCATGAGAGTAGAACTTACCCAATAAACGTGGAGTGGTGTACAAAAACATTTGCGTCAGCCGGTACTCGAACCCACATCTCACTCTTTCAGGGAGCGCGCGCTGAATCGTTACACCACAGACGCTCGTTTTGCACATCACTCTTTTTATGCTACACCGCGTTATATGTCCAAAGCCAACCGTCGACGGTCTGGTGGGGCAGCCCCTATCGGCATTGATTCCACTTATGTTGACAGATATTGGGTATCAATAATCGATCAAATTCATTTATTTCACCGCCTCTTGAGGTGATATGATCTTATAATATATCCAATAATGTGGAGTGCTGTGGAGATATTATAAGATCATATCACCGCAAGAGGCGGCCAAAAAAAAATGTATTTCGATTTATTAGAGAAGAATTTGCTTGCCCACTGGTTGAGTGCCCGTGCATTCGCCATCGAAGAGTGAAAACGGAAGGAGTAATTCACATACTTCGCTTCCTTTTCTTTTTAGTAACACTGGTAATGAGGTATTTTGGGAGAACTAAAAAAAAAGACAACAATTTTAGAGCATGTTCAAAATCTTGAGTGAAGTAATTATTATCCGCAACAGATAAAGTAACCCTTTTCTCTTCTACGAGAGGATTTTCGATGACAAATGTGGACCATTGCTCGTCGGTTTGAATGATTGGCACATCGTTTAGGGCTCCCTCTGAAGAAGGCTTAAAGAAAAAGCATCAGATTTGAAATAATGAACTCGATTTAACTCGCTCTGCTCTGAAGGTCCTTAAGTGAAAGCGGGCCAGAGCAGAAGTTGACGCTGTGGCTAACGAAAGGCCCATTCTAAAGACAATGAAACTGTCTCTAAGATGGTCTTAGGTTTTTCGAGAAAATTTTCTGTACTCAGCGAATTATAGCCATGCGATAAATGATTTCCATATCAAAGTGGAGCGATTTGAGAACGGGTCTCGCAGTGCTAGTGAACCTATTCGTTTCGTGGCGTCATAGTGTACCTAGGTGTTTGCTCCATGGCAAGCATAGCACAGCAAGCCTATTATCTGGCCGGAGCGGAAAGATTCAGATCACACTACTCTGTGGCGAGCTTACCCTTTCTGTCAACATGGGAACGATTCAGCGCGGTTATCTCAGGATTCCATGGAGAATCAACTCAATCAACATTAAAAGACAATAGTGACAAAAAAATTTTTTTCAAGCACTCGCTGATGTTACAGGTAAAAAATTACGAACGGCCATGTGATTGGGGATGCGAGGAAACGAATTGAATGCAAGGACTATCGGAATTCGCGCAGTGTGATACTTCTGAAATCACTTGCTATCGTAATAATGGTAGTAGTGTGATGTTTTCTACATGGGATAGTTTTGAGAAAGAAAACCTTACGGTGTCGCATACGCGGTGCACTTTATTTGCATTCCTTTACTTAAATGCTTATTTTGATTTGGCCTTGAGTTCTGACATATTTAATAAATGCTGCCTGTCTAAAGAGAACCATGTACATCGTGGAGTACATCCTCTGTTTCAGCAGTGTCGCCGGTAAGGTTAGAGAAATTCACCGAAGCAAGTACTCTGTCAGAACACCGCTTAATCAGAAGGATTATCAATCAGTACGATTCATTACCCTCATTTTCCTCAGCGGCATTTAATCCTTTCTCTTCGGTTTGTCTATACTCGTCAGAGTAAGCAAAAAGAAGGCAGCGCGTTAGACGACAAGAAGAAGCTATTAATTTGCAATGAAACATCTTTACGCATGACCTTAAATCAGTCGCAGTCAAACCAACGAAGCTCTCATTCTTCTGAGGATAGAAAGTGTACACTACATTTGTCTAGAGAAATCACCATTTAGCTTACAATGGTAAGTGGCTGCCTGATGTGGGCACCTAAAAATGGCCCTAGTATGGCTGTTTCCAGAGCTCCACTGAGAGCCTATCAGACTAAATTCAATTGCATTTGCAGGATTATTAAAATTTCCGGATAAACATTCTCATTCAAAAGCAAGTTAGAAAGCTGTCGGGGAAGATGGATGCGAGGAAACGAATCGAATGAAAAAGTGTTGAAAACTGTACATTATTTGAAGTCGGATGATGCAACAAGTATTATTACATCAAATCAAAAGATATAGAGCCACTTGGGAAGAAGTGGACGAAGTGCACTGTTAGAAAGGTTAGATTATGTCAACAATGCTGTAAAAAATCTATCGGAGGAAACAACTGAAGTTACATAAAGTACGCCTAGACTCATGTGTAAGGGGAAATTGCCGACACATTACCCATCAAATTTCAGGAACACCTGGTAATATCTTCGTGTCAACTTAGCAGGAATGGTTCACATGATTGGATTAAATGCCAAAATTCAGGAGCAATTGGTCTTCCAAAACATCACTATGTTTATTGATCTGAACTGCGCGCAAAAAATTTTACAATTTGAGTGGATGATGCAGGAGAGATTCGTCGATGGCAAGATGGAATCGGAACGATGAAGGTGCACGGAGTCGTTACAATCATGCTTAGCTGGATGGACCGTTAGGACGATCACTAGCAGTGGAAAGCTGATGAAGTACATTGGGGTTGCAAAGACTGAAGGCGGTTGCTAGGGAAAGATGCGCATGACGGCTGCAACTATCGCACTATAAGCTATTCTATGAGGTTCATACGATCTGCCTGTGGCTATAGTCGTTTTACATCACAAATAGATCACGATCTTCTGCTTTGCTGCAGTAATTTGAGTTCGGACATGTGCTCAGAACTCGAAAGCACACCAAGCGACGACAGCAAAGTTTTGAATTCTACTATGACTTTCATGTTATTTAGATTGACTTTTCGCATTATCTCAACGAGGAATGTCTCTTGGTATTAAATATTAAGTGATGTTGCGTGAATCCTTTTATTTATAATGGTTTTCCTCCTGTAAAAGGTATAATTTTTTTTATTATAACAAAATTGATGAAGATTTTCAATATTGTTGAGGAGAAAACAAGAAGCGCCGAAATACGAGCAATAAAATTTTACCACGCATCGTGGAAGTAAATAACATGAATAATTATTTATTAGTGCAGTGATCAATGTGGCACAGTGGTTAGAGGTGCTCTGCGTTCAGTGGTTCGATCTCGCGCTCGTGGCTCACCAAGACATCCATCCCTCCGCGATCGGTAAATTAGTACCAGACTGATCTCAGACTTGTCTGGGAGAGTAAGCAGCAACGACTCGGTTCAGCGGAGGCCATCGCGAGTCATTGCAAAGGCCAGATATGCATCCAGTCACCTCCACCGAAGATAAAAATAAAGACGAATGCATGGCGCATCCCTCAGGATTGATAAACGCCAAGAACTTCATCCTTTATCAATCACTGTTGAAACAAATAAGGCAGTAATATCTTATTGAGAGTAGTTCCTATTTAGTAGCAAAAAATTGTTATGTGAACGTTGAGAGGTATCAGGGTAACAAATTCTACTTTGAAGTTTTTTATCTTATATTTTTTATAACGATTTTCTTTGCTATTTTTGATAATTCAAGCGATATTTATCATAGTTTGGAATACAATCTTGGGATAGAGTATGATTTTTGCATAAAGTTTACGGATCAGTTGCATTTGGCGGGCTTCGCTTAGTGGAGGTTGACAATTGTTGCGTCTAGATTATGTCTATCTTTACACTCAATCATCCACCTCTTAACCTTGAGCTTGAAATGGACTATGAAGTGAACAAAATACCAAAATATAAGGAAGTAAATAACAATTTAAAAAATGTCAATTAGACAGTAATCAAAGTGCTAGTGTGAACTAAAGACGTGTCAGAAACAGAGACTTGAGGTAATGTCACTGTTTGAATGTAAGTATTCTCTTATTCTTTTCTTTTACTCCGATTAGAAATGAAAATCGAAAATGATAAATCTTCGAATTTTTCCACCACTAGTTTTTATTTTTCATTAGTACAGCTAATGCAAAAGAATGAGGTCAGTTGTGTATTTGTGACGAGATTTACAGCTGTTTTCTTCATTTGATGCATCTCTTCGACTGTTTTTGAGACCTCGCTGTAAACATTCAATATAGTCTGAAAGAATGTTTAACGCCTTACCGGGGTTGCTACGTCACAGCCACACACGTGCTTTGGAGGTATCAGCCACTTCATCAGTGGCCCACGCCTCACACTGAGTCCTACTTTGTAGCAGGGAGGTGAGACTTGAGGATGTGGTGACAGCACGACGCACAATAGCATTCTGTTATCAACACTTTTTCAGTCAATGAATTGCGTTTGGCACATACAAATTGTTATTCTTCGCATTCTGTATTTCTTACTCTAGTTTTGTTGGTTTTGTGTTCATTTATCTACGGAGTTCCTAGGGCTTCATGCATTACGTGGAGGCTTCTAATAAACAGATTTTTCATGCTGTGATTACAGTGGCGAAAGAGGTAGATCATTCTGTCACCAAAAGCAGCACCTAGATGAGAAGTCGAGTAACCGGTCCTTCTATCTACACATGGAACACAGAATACAACGATGACGATTTTGGGGTGGTAGTCACTACGGCGAGTTAGGAATAAAAAACTTCAGCAGGCTAATCATTTAGAGTATTTTTATAGATTTTGAAGAAAAGCAGAAATGGGTAGAAAGGAGAATACCTTATTATCACGCGGTATGACACCTAACCCCTTATCTCCAACTTCTTACCTTCTGATTTTCTGGTCGAGGTAAGCTTTATGGGTTATAATGTGTAAGCAACACATTGGTGATCTTACTCCATGTGAAAGTTAAGAGGTGAGGTCTTTTTAATTAGCAAATTCCTGAGAGGATTTTGAAATTAGATCTCCACTAGAGTCAAATAATATTAACCGATTATTTAAATTTGGTTTGTATGGCACGTTTAGCTCTAAAGAAGGTGAATTCACCAAAAGCATTAGTTATCGCTTCTAAAAAAGCGATACCAGCATAAATGAAACAACGTCTCATGAAATTTTCGATTTCACGACTTTTCATAGAACTGGCCTAATGTTACAGCTATATATCAGAAGATGTTGAGTAATATGCAAAACTCTGAGCCTTAAGCGGGAGTTGATCTCCGCGATTCACTCATGTCATTCTGAAACGGTAGTTCAATTACCGTCTGAAGTTAAGCTTTGCATGTTACTCAGT